ATTTTTTTAAATCTAAAACCCATGTGTTTGGGTGTAAAGTAGTTCTGCCACATTTAACACCGGTTTCATCTTCTTCAAGCCTCCTAATTAATATTAATATAGCTGGTAAATTTTACGCCGTATTATATCTTGATCACTTTCATCTACACTCGAGAAAATCTCAGCATCGCTTCTTTTTTTCCTCGCTGAAATGGGATTATTCACAATTTTCCGCACATATTTTGCATAATTCGCACACGATTGAACACACGCTGTATTACACACAAAATAAGAATGATTACCAATAAACTTAAACTAAGTAGTATACCAAACCAAAGAATATTAAACACAGGTAGGTATAAAATTATTTTCTATTACGGACCACCATTTTACCTGAATTTAAATTCCGAAACTTTAGGTAATAATCTTGTTGCATTGTATGTTAATGACCACCCTTGGATAATCCCATTCAAAAGCAATGGGTCACTTTATTATATCTATGAACAGACCATACCTCGCGTAGTGTGTGGCTAGCCTTAACATTAACGAAAAAGCCTTTTCAAGCTGGAACCTTGATCCGGTGCGGCGGTCGTCATTCGTTTTTGTCGTTCCCAATTAAAACGAAAACAGGCGGCGGCACGTTTTAAAGCTTTAAAACAGTGTTATTATTTGCCGCATACAATGTAGCGAATTAACCTGGAAATTGGCCAATCAACTGCCAACGTTATTAGTCCCGCTCGCCTCACTCGCTTTCTCTCTCTTTTTGTACGTAACCGTAGAGTAATTCAGCTTCACCGCCAACTGGTTAAACTTTGTTTTCTTTTCTTTTGTTGTTGTTCCGTTTTATCAATCGCAACGAATGCGGGGGCAATTATTGTTTATTTTGTTTGGCGACCGCCTTCACGTTTGATTAAATGCCGCGGCGTTAGCGATCTTTTATTTTTCGGTATTGACAGAAGTCGGTTATTTTTTAATAGACTCAAGAGTTCAAACAACTTGAATTTTTAGTGGTTTAATGCTTCAAAATAGTGGTTAATGTTTACGTGTAGAAGTCGCTGACATGATAGTTTTGAGGACACGTCAAAATAATTTTATTGACATGTTGTTTTTGTGTTGTCTCACTGTAATAGTATATTAATTAAATTTTTTAAACACTCGCTCCGCTCGTGTCAAATAAACTCGTGAGTCAAATGCCGTTTACCGCACTTGTTGCATACTATACTTTTTCTACGACCGTTAGTTTTTGGGTACATTTTCGCAAAACACCCGATTGCTCCCAAACCCGTGCGGCAAAATCCCGGAAAATGTCCGAAGGATCAGATTACAGTATGGAATTACTATTAAAATGCACTCCAAAACTTACTGTCATTAAAATTTAAAAGAAAATTGCAAAATGTTTAACCTATAAATTTATTTATCTCGGCTACTGTTTAACGTACACAGATATTTTTTTAACTTAGTTAATAATTTGCCACCAATTCAACGAATTGATCATGGTATTTTTTTCTTAATACCGTCGCTTTTTGATAACATAATTTATAATATCCTAAATTACGCCATGAGTCTTTGGTTAAAATAACCTCAACATACTTGAACCCTGTTTTCTTACGGAACAATATTTGTAGATAACAGTGTCTAAAAAATTGTTCGTCAAAGTCAATAATTTTCTATTCTTCACTACACAAAAAACACTTCTTCATTTTTCTATGTAAATTTCCAACGTAATACACTAGTGAATATTAACAGCAGAAAAGGATGTTTATTCACATAAAACAAATATATTAAAAACGTGATCTCTCCGGCATGCTCTAACCAACTCAAAGTGGGAGAATATACTTATCTTTTTCTATTGCACAGAGAACTAAACACTCACTTTTGTCATTTCTGACAGAGGTTACCGCGCAGCTGATATGATGCATCCTGCCTTACATTATAAAATATATAGCCGTCACTGTTGCTCCCTATTTTCAAATAAAATTATCGGAACTTTGATTCGTCGCGATCATTATTCTGGCATTGTATTCGCAATAAATAAAGCTACAGTTGCATGTGTAGTTTTTTGGGAATAATAGTGAGAGTTAGTCATTAAATTAATTTACCTGTTTTACACCTGTTAAAAAAAAAATAGAAGGTACAATTGGAATCGCGATATCAACTACAAAAATTTCATCTGTTTAAAGCTCTGACCTGGTGATGAAAATATGCCAAGAATATTTTACAAATGGTATACTAGGATTGGACGGACGAAAGTGTGGTAACAAATAATGGATTTCTCGGGAGTCGCGTAACTTTTCGTTTCTGGCGTAACCCCTTAGATATGTAGAGTGTTCATATTCAGCTCAGTTTGTTTTTCAATAACATCGCAGTACCGTATTTCTTCTTGAAGGATTTCAATCAGTTTATAAATATTTGTTTGCACTTTTCCATTACCGTTGTTAAGTCGATGATGCCATCCTTCTACCGAATTCGTTGGACGGTCTTGCTCCTAGTAGCACACCCACATGAATTCATCCAATGGACATCTTCCGCCACAGTTTTCCATCACCAAGGCTATAAATCCCTCTTAGAATAACCGCAAAAATAATTTGTTGTTGTTATAGTAACATCTTTATAAGTAAGTTGTTGGAATACGAACGAATCGAGAGGACAAATTTCCATACCGGCGAAATGCTCATTATTGGGCGAGAGATAGTCCTCGAGTTTACCAAATATCTAGACTTGAATGTCGTTTTGGGAGTGATATGTGGGTTGGGATTTTTGGAACACATTTAGTAGCAACCTCGTTCGCCGGACCCCAGTCCACTCGTTTTTCTATATATCGGCAAATTGCAAAAATCATTTTTACTAGCAAGTTTTTGAGAATAAGCGTCAACTGAGAAAACTAGTTCTTGAATTATTTCAAAACATTACGACTGTGATGTTAAGAAATGTTTCAAATTCGACAATTGCAAGGTGTTATCTGTGTTCGGAAAATAATTTCTTAATTAACATGTGACGTGATTTACCTACTTAGTTATCATGTCATCTTATTTTTTTTATTTATCATGTCAGCGCCTCCTACACCAAAACATTAAAAATGCTGTTTAATACATGGAGTAGTTTTTCACAGATCATATGAAAAAAGTCGTAATTAAAACTTCTCATCGCTATCTTGTAGAGCTCAATAAGTAGCAACGAGAAAGTGACGTTTATTTTTTTATATATCTTTAAATAACACTTTTGCGAGTGCAACATTCTGTCATATTACTAAAGGGTTCGACTGTGTGGACCACTCGACTCAAATATTACTTTTTGGCATCTTGAGCCTAAGCCTAGTTGGTTCATTTCTAGGTGAGAGGGAACAATACGTTGTTTATAACAATACAACTTCGAGTACCTTAGCAGTGAGAATTGGGGCTGTGCAGGGCTCAGTAATGGGACCTACCCTCTTTCTCGTGTATATCAACGACCTTCCTGGAGCCCTTTTGAATGGTTGGCTGGTATTGTTTGCGGACGACACTACTTTCTTAATAAATAAAAAAAATCTTATTGAAGAACTTGCTGAAGCTAACTCTGAATTAAAAAGAGGTACGGACTGGTTTACAAAAAGTAGCTTAACCCTCATGAGTTTCTTTAATCTTCCCTCAAAGTCGCACGGACACAGTGTAAAATTCTTGGGAATTTATTTATACCGTAAAGTAAATGGGTGTCACTACACAGACCAACTGGCTTAAAAGGTCTCAAAAAACATTTTTCTAATACGTAGCCTAAAAGGCACTGTAGATTGTAACATATTATTGACAGCAAGAGTCTTTGGCGTACAACGTAGAGTAATTAGAGTAAACAACAAACCTCAAATACAGAGAGGATGTTAGATCACCCCTACAAAACACGGAATAGGGACAACCTCAGATCTGTAACCCAGCAAGTAACCACTGTATCCAGTTTTTTTTTAAACCTAAGCCCTAGACAAAAAGACTCCCAATAAACATGTTCAAAAACTTAGCTAAAGATTTTTTAATAAAGCTATCCTTTTACAGCTTCAAGGAGTTTACCTTTTTTCAAGATATCAATAACTCTATCTAGCCAGGTGATTGCACCTCTTCGACTCCCCGTGCGATTTATGTTTTATGGCTTATGCTTTATGTTTTATATATATTGTCTATTCTCAATGTTATGTTTTAATATTTTTATTCCATGTTTTATTTTATTGCCATGACTGATTGTATACATGTTCTATTTCTGTAACATACTAATAAATGAGAAAAATAAAATCGAGATCGGTAAATTATGGTTTTTTGGCGTATCTTCGGAACCAACAGCATGTTATGTGGCTTTAAATTTTGCAACCCTTTTTTTAATTTAACCATCTTCGTATCTCTAATGGTTTCACCATTAGTATTTTTAATAATTTATTAGACTTTTTGTAAGCTTTTCTAAAATATGTAACACATAACATAACTTATAGGCCATGGAAAATAGAGATTTATTTACGTAAATTACATAATTTATTACACTTATTTTCCATAGCCCACTCATATAAATAAAATTAAAATTAAAGCTTAGAAATTGTGTTCCGTTAAAAAACAAACAAACTTTGTTTGTTTCAGAAGACTACGCCATTGCATCCTACGTAAAATGCATATTGTGTCGTACATCGTTGTATTCGTAATAGAAAATACTACTTAATACATGGTACAGCTTTTTCACGGACTATATGAAAACTGACATCGAGGAAATGACCTTTATTTTGGTATATCTCTGTAAACAACACCAGAAATATTAAATCGGAAATTTCGTGTTTTTTTGACGTATCTTCGGAAGTGATGAGAATTTTTTAATTTTCTCAGTAGCACGTTATTATATTTTAAATTTTTGCACCTCTTAACTGTATACCGCTTTCAAATTTCAACCAAATCGATAAGAAAATTATGAAGATATTTTTGAAAAGGCGAAAAATTTGACAACCAACGTGAAAAAAATGCCCCCATATATTTTCCGAGACCCATGGGGTTAATTTATATGTTTATTTCCGTTTTCAGACGTAAGATGCAGTGTAGCGAGCTGGGGGGCGCCGCGGGGCAGCGACTCGGCGGCGGCTGGGCCCGGACCGGCGGCTACGCGTCATGGCGGCCCCAATGAGATCGACCTCGCAGGACGCCGCGGGCCACCGAGCGAGGGTGGCGGACTCCTCCACCAAGGGCGGGAACGCCAGCACGGCCACGAAACAGCAGCAGCAGCAGCAGCCATCTGCAGCAGTAGTAGCGACCACACCAACGGACCACCAGCAGCCTCCCACCTCCACCAATTTCGAATACGATGACAACGAGTGGGACATAGGTCGGTTTGTCCCCCTTTTTCTCCGAAATTCACTCATAAATAGCCAAAGACTTTAATTGATAATATGCATTAGAAAATAGTATTAATTTTATAAGTTTACGTGACGTCACGGCGAACGTCCGTTAGAAGTTTTATGAGAAACAAAATAGGTATTGTCGCGAAACTTGGTGTGTGTCATCATATTGCATTCTCGAATTCGACATAAAAATTGACACAACTTCCTCGAATGATACCTACACTTATTTGTTATCTTTTTTGCCAAAAAAAAAAGATTTTTTTTTAGAACTCAGTTTCGAAAAAATGTGATATTTGGCGTAAAAACCAATTATTCATTTGACACTTTCACCGGTGACAACTAATGAATTTACTTAAAAGCTGCGCGTGTAATACCGAGAATATTTTATACAAGGCAAAAAGTGCAATTTTGAACTAAATATAGTAATAATAAAAAGTATTTTTTTTTAAATACATAACTACTTGTTTTTCAGTTATTCAGTTTATAACGTTTTATAAGAAATGAAAGATATTCTGTATTTTCATAACACTTTAGGTGGTAGACGCGCTTTATCATGCTGAAACATTTTATCAGGTGTCAATCAACTGACGTTGCTTACAAGAAAACGTGTCTGGAATTTGAATGAGGTTAAGCTTGTGGTCTTGAAATTATGCAAAATAATCCATATTCTTCTGCGGAAATTCCAAATTTATTCGTAATGTCTGGGGAGTGCAGCAAAGTTGTTAGTAGAACTTGCAGATTGTTCAATGAAAGATATATATGCCTCTTAAGATGAACAGGATGAAGAAAAATTTTGTGGAAAATGGAGGTATTAAAGCTGCTACAGTTTTGCCGAAGCCGGTTACTTCAATAAAGGGAGATATCAATTTGTTAGCTTACTTTCATGTGTATCCTGAAGCCTCTAAGCTTGCAGCGGAAAACATTTATATATTTCTAGAAATTGCGCAGACAGGACTTTGAAATAAAATGGAATGCATCCCTATAAATTTAATACCGTGTCCGCTCTCCATCAAGAAGATTTTACTCGGCGTACAAAATTTTGCGAGATATTCCTAAATGATACCCAAGAAGACTCCGATTTCTTGCGTAAACTAATTTGGATTGATGAGTACCAATTTGTAAGGGAATCAATTAATTTTTTCAAAGAAACTTCCACAGACTACTGTAATGCTATTTTTCTACTCCCTTCTGTAAAATACCCAATTATAAACCGATCTAGCATGCGAAAAGCGTCACTTTACTGGGTGAGTTTCTCTCGTTTATTGAAGACTCGCTCCGCTCGTCCCAAATTAACTCAAATGCCGTTGCATAATACACGATTAGAAAACTTCTGGATTCCTCCTGTCTCGGTTGTTGATGAATCGAACTTGCTAATGTTTCGCCAATCATCCTGTTGACCTCTCCCGAGCTCAACTGAAACAGAACTTCCGATTCATTAAATCCAAGTGAAATAGAGAAGTGACTACAAAGTCGTCTATCATCACCCGCGTTGAGGAATGCCTAGGGCAAAATGGGGATCATATTAAAACTTGACATTAATTGTTACATGGTACAGTGTTGTTTCTCCCTTTTGTAACTAAGAACTAAACACCAAGCACATTCAGTTGTTTTCCTTTGTCACTTGACCATACGTTTCTGCATGGCGGGTTAGAAAAGAAGTCAGCCATCGTCAACTTCGTGTAATCTTCATAAGCGCGTCTAAGGCGTAAATTGTTATGGCAATGGAGAATATATTTTATTTCTTAAAGACGGAAAGAGATAGGTATAGGAACACGTATAATCATTTTGTAGACAATTTGTTTGCCTATAGTCAATGGGAATGCGAAAAACATTCAGGCATTTAAAAAAAAAGACTTTATCATTACTATATTGCTTTCAGAAGGTTGCACTTTTTCGTCGCACCTGTATAAAATATTGACAATATTACATGCATAGTTTTTAAGTGCATTCATTAGGTATCACTTGTGAACTTAATTGAATAATTCGTTTTTGAAAAACCTATTTATGTTGCTGACAACATAGCAATGTGTGGGAACAATTAGTGGAAGTTTTATGTCGAATTCGAAAATGCAATAAAAAAGCTATGTGTTCCATTTGAAAGTTTAATGTTGCCACTGATTTCGGGTGGAACCGGTAACAAAGCGAAAGCGAATATATTTGGAAATTGTTCGTCAGGGTTAATTATGGTCTTATACCAAATTTCACAACAATATATATTTTTTTTTCTCCTAAAACTTCTAATGGACGATCATTGTGGTAAACCCTGTATGGTACCGATAACGAAAGGCATTTTGAATGACTGGTCTCTGTATACTTTACCTAGGATCATACAATATCTAAGTTTTTTATAGAATATCCTTGCATTATTATTATAGGAAACGTTTGAAGTAAGAGAGTTGGAGAAAATTGATCCACCATAGATAGAACTGGTCGCGAACAGTTTGCAGACAGTCTGCAAATAATTCATGTCTAGTTCGGCAACTATTCAGGATGACGTAAAAATTGTTTGGTTATTTGTTTCGTTTGGTCTTCGTTCAGTGGTCCGCGTTGTGCAATATCCGACGAAGGTAATAGGAAAAGACGGCGACGTCGTCGACTGAATTGCCAGAGAAGTTTTTTGCAAGCCAGAAAAAAGTGCAGTGGCAGCCATTCACTGAAGTGCAGTTGAATTTACATATTTACCAAAAACTAACCAAATCTTACTACATCTGTCATCTTATCTAATTTTTGAGTAGGATAAAGTCGTTTGACTCAGGAAAAACTACTTTTTGGTCAGGACAACTAGTTTTACTGATAATAGATACAGCCAAGGACATAATTTAATGTATGGATTTCTGAAAGGAAAAGTCAAATTAATATTAAACAAGTGTTTCATAGCCCAGCTAGTATCCCATCGTAAGCATGTTCTGTCAAAATGCCTATTCCAGACCTGTCTTTGAAGAATAGGGACGAGATATTTGTTTATGAAGAGAAATAACGCATACCAAATGTCAAAACTCAAAACCCAATATTTGAGTTGCAATAATTAATTTAAGTTCTGACGACACTAAAAACGTGGGCATGATCGTGACGTCGTAACGCTATTTTCGGATCGACTCCTCGAACGTGTACCCATCCTATTGCGGTCTCCATAGGAATGTTTTCCTGATCTATATGAAATAAATAACACTTTAAGTTATCAATGCTAATATACTTTAAAATCAGCATTTGGTTTGCATTACTTTAAAAAAATCCTTTTTGTTGTTTTTTTATTGAATTATTTACATTCTATTAGACATGCCATTTGAATTTTTAAAACTAGAATCCTTTAAGCTGATTACAATATTATATTGGTTTAAAACTAGTGCCTAAATTTTCTATGGATTACCTTCCAGCTCTCAGCCTTGTCGTTCTCTAATGGCTACCGTCCTGCTGGCGTGTCTATCGAGCGAATTGACTTCACAACCGGTCACAGCCAATGACTGCGCGTCTCAAATAGGATTTAAATTTTACAATTTTTAATTGCTTATATTTGTTACATACACCACGAAATTATTTTTTTGTGAACTGTGGTTCTTTTAATAGTATAAACTTTTCATTTTATTAGCAATAATTTTCAAATTAAAATTTTGAAATTGAACTCTTGACCACTTTGACTCGTTAATTCTTATGACCACCGAAATTCACATGTTTCTCTATTTTCATATAAGAATTTCTGTTTAATTTGTCTTATTTAAAAAAAAACTTGAAAAAAGTTCAAAGAAAATTCGGATTTTGAAATTGCGTATAACCCTGATAAATTTAAAACGACTCGCTTCGTGACCCATTCGACGATAGTTGTCCCCTGAATATGTGTGCCGACAGACTACCAGAACCTGATTATTATTAGATATAGCAAACCACTCACAAATTTTATCTTTGCCGATGAATAGCATTGTCGACAGGTTAGATAGTGTGTAAATTATTTTATGAAGGTCATGAAAAATTGCACTTGTAGGAGGTGAACAAAAGTTCGTTGTGTTCAACGATTTTAAAGTGAGTAACAGGAAAAGTAAATTATCATTAACAATCATCCATAAAGATCAATAAAAAAAGTGTTTGTTAATTTCTCAGATAAGAAAACTTCTAAGTAATAGGATTGACTTATTTGAGTTATTAGTAAATAATACAATTCAGAAGTTGGGCAGCGCAAAGTTATCCGACAGTCATCACAGTCACAGAATTTCATGTTAGACCAGTACTTCCAAAAAAAAAAAAAAACACTTAAAATGTTTGTGAATAGAAAAACAGCGTCCGGATCCTTATCGTACGTTTCGAGTATATACGTCGCAAATGTAATTCGTTGGAAAACATGTTATTACTATTACCTCGTCAGTTGTTAATTGGCCACTCAACCACTTGTTATGTTGTCACTGCCTATCGATCGTTGATAACGTGTATGGCATTACTTTTGATAAACTTCAACACGTATATCGAACACGAAAAAAATTAAAGGTTGGTTTTTATCTTTCACTATCATCATTTTCGTTCGCAGGCATAGGCGATCTGATAATCGACTTGGATGCGGACATAGAGAAAACCAACGAAAGCAACAACCAGCAGCAACAGCTGATGTCGACGAATGCGGGGGGCGGGCCCCAGGCCTCGTCGAAGGCGGCGAACGCGACCGCGAAAATGCACATCGAGCACTCGGCCACCGCCGACAAGGGCCTTAAGATGAAAATTAAACGAACCAAGCCGGGCACAAAAACCTCCGAGGTATGTTTTCGGCGCGCCGCCGACTTTTCTATCGCCCCTCGTATACTGCGGAGCGGGAAATTCTTTAGATGTCATTTGCTCGCGTAAGGTATCACGTGCGGCACATAAACTCACATGAAATTTGACTGGGGAACTCGAATATGCGATAATGTGAGGGGCTTTGTATTTAAAAAAATAAATAAATTATATGAATCACTCTATACATATCGGCAATGTATTTTAGTTTGTAGGTTTTACCGTAGATGGTAACGTTTTAATTGGCAGTAACTTTTTTGTTTTTAGAGATATCAAGGTAAACAAAAAAACAAGATATAGGATTAGTAACCAAGATTTTTTTCCGTATAAAACAAAACACTATCAATTTTCTAATATCTAAAGCTACACTTCTTTTTAATTGTATATTATATATGTGTTTAATAGAATATCTTATTCCGATTACAATTATTGTATTATATTTTATTTATATTATATCATATTTTATTTATATTTATATTTTAGCCTACTCGTTTTTGACAAATCGCAAAAAGTAGGAAATTTTTATATAATTTCCAAGAGTGCCCTGACTGACAAATAAAAATATGTTTATGTTTGACATATTAGTAAACAACGTTGACGGTTGAATTATTGTCCAAGTCATTATTGTTACAATGGTTTTTCGTGAATTTAGTATTCGTGAAAGGAATGATATGCTTCAAGTATACTTTCTGAATAATAATAATAAGTAAATAAATATAAATAAATAATAATAAATAAAGCTCGTCGTCAGTATATTATATTTCATCCAGAGCGCCCAGCTCCTTCAAAACAGATATCTGGCAAAGAAATTTGCCGGAATCATAATATTTTAAATGAGGAAAATAAGGTAAACATATTGTGATTCTATGAGGCACATCCAGATTCCTCTTTTACTAGAGTATATCAAGAGACAGGTATTTCTCTAGGATCAATCCGCTCAGTTTTAAAAGAATATAATGCATATAAATTTCGTAAAACTCAAAAAAAAAACTAAGTGCAGAACAATGTCAAAGGACGATGCAGTTTTGTTTGGATTTTTTAAATACACATAATGAGAATAATAATTTTTTGAAAAACCTTTTATGAACTGATGTAAGTTCGTTCACTACAAAAAGGGGTTGTAATAGACAAAATACGCTATATTGGTCCTTAAATAATCCTAGACAAATACATGAAATAAAAACGCAGGGGTACCAGTCAATTAATGAATGGTGTGGAGTCCGATATTTATAGATTAAAAGTTAACTGGAGATCATTATTTGCAACACTTAGAGCAGCAAATAGAACAATATATGGAAGATTTTCCCCTAAAAATATCACCGTTGATTATATGGTGCCCCTCCTCACAATGTTGTCCAAGTTAATTTTCTTAACATGAAATATCCCGGAGGCTGGATAGAGAAGTATGGATTGTCCCGCCAACGGCCCTGATTTAATTTTAATGGATTTTTTACTTTTGGGCACGGAACTCCTTGTAATAATGTCTTGGAACTTCGACGAATAATTTCAGAGGCAATCAATTAGTTAAAAGGCAATCAGGAAGCGTTACTAAATGCATAACATCATGTAATCAGAGTGTATGAGAAATGTGTTCGGGAAAATGGTGGTCACATACAGCTAAAATAGTTAAAGAATTTTTTACTTTAGTTTGCCTCGTCATTTTTAGTGTTTTTGTTCTACCTTAATTTTTAAATAATTATTGTTGTTGCAGTGAGTCACGGCACTCTTTGAAGTTATATAAAAATTGCCTATTTTTGCCGATTTTTCAAAAACTAGTGGACTAAAATATAAATTAATATAAATATAAAGTATAAAGTAATAATAACAATAAAGTAACACTATTGTAATCGGAATAAGATATTCTATTAAACACATATATAATATACAGGGTGTTCCATTAAAAAAAAAGATTATTCGTCACTTGGAAGAAAAAAAGTTACAGCCAATTAAAGTGTTATCAAGATAAATTGAGCGCACCCTGCATACATATTTACATATTTATTTATGCAACCTTTAGGGACATTTATTTATTTGTCCTTTGTTCTTGAAATTAGCAGGTTATATTTTATTTCATGAATATCACGTTTTTCTTCTTCTGCCCAGCACATTTTGAACCTACCACTAATAAAAAATAAAATAATATGGAAGTTGGAGTAATATGGATTGTGAACCCTCCAGATAACCCGAACGAATTTTTGTATCATTGCATAAGCACTTTTGCATACATTGTTCATTCATTAAAATTAATGTCGAAAAGTTAGTTTTTGGGATTTTTTTATTGCTTTAGAATTTGTGGGTCGTTTTAGGTTGTTTCGTTCTTTTCTGTTCGATTAAAATTAAACGCCGCGTGTCGTACGACACGATGGCGGTCGCTGCTCCGTATCAAGTTGAAGCCGTGCCAGTGGCAATATAATGTGATTAAACGCCCACGGTTTATTATAATGGGCTCCAGTTTAGACGGATTTACGATCCATTTCCGTCGGGACAGGAGATGTGGGCATTGTGGTTTGTTACACTGGTTCGATTCGACAATAACGAAAAATAAAGGAAACTAACTACCCAATTAAAGTATCGGGGCAAAGAACTATCGGTAGAAATACAAAATAACTGACACGTAGACGAATTTTCTTTGTCACATGGAAAATTAAATGAGAAAAGGGCAAAAAATAAATAAATAAAAAAAATCGTTTTAAATATAGAAAAAAACACTAATAGTAAAGTATTCCGAAAACCTGAAAATAATCTAATTGTGGGTGTTTGGTAGATGGTTAACCAAACCTGGTGGACACATAGAAAGTTCTGCCCTCCAAACAAACCCGTTTTTAGTAGATTGCTTTTGTAATAGTTCCCGCAAACTAATTAATGACTTGCTAAGAATTAAGAAATTATGTTAAGAAAAAACATAATAATAAATACAAATTAAGAGCGGAGATTTATTGAACTGAGGTGGCTTTTGCTTGATGAAAATCCATTTATCAAAATAAATAAGAACTAAAAGTTCAGATTTTCACGAAATTATATATTATGACATGACAATTGTTTCGACAACACCGTGTCTTTATCAAATGTTGTCGAAACAATTGTCATGTCATAATATATAATTTCGTGAGAATCTGAACTTTTAGTTCTTATTTATTTTGCGGAGATTTATCAAGAGAAAAATAAATAATTCAAATTTAAATATACATTAACAAATACGGAGAATTCAATTTTATGGAACAAAATTAATAAGAAGATTGAAAAATTAAAATCAACCGAAAAAAATTGATTAAAATAACGAATAAAAAAACCCAATTAATTAACATAGGTATTAGCGGTTTTTGTGAATGGTCGAGAAATCGATCTGTTGACAATTCATAGTTTTGTGAAAAATTTTGAAAAGGTTGAATCAGAAAGGTTGTATTTTAACTGAAGGAACAAAATATAGTAGGGAAAATTGCAAACTATTGTTGCGAACAATAGAAAATTAACCAACAAATTTTGACAAATTGTTCGAGTTTAAATTAAAAATAAAATGCGATAAAGCTTTAAATAACCAATATCATCAATTAATTAACATAAAAATGATTGTGAAAGTTTTCCGTTAATAGAAAGATAAAATTTAATTTTTGAACATGGTGTCCCTCCAATTTTTATTCATCGAAAAGCGTGCCCATTTTATTTGCGGTTTTAAATAAAACCTCGATAATTTGTCGCCGGTTTTTTTTTTATACGACGTCCATTGTTTTTGAACGATTTGCAATGGAAATACATTTAAATTATCAATTATTCGAACCGTTATAGGATTGTGGTCGAACATTATTCGGCCGCAAGTGTAATTGCCAATAAATTTTATGCTATTATTTTTACCCGGCATTTGTAAATTTTACGCGCGTTTCGGCCACCGTTAACCCCGATATTTGTTTGATGGATGTTTTAGAAAGCTCCACGCTTCGTGTAGCCAGATATACAGGAAGCGAATACACACGCTGGTCAAATTTGGAAAATATTGTTGAAATTGTTCGATAATGAAGAACGTTTGCTGTAGACGTTTCTGCGGGGTAAATTTTTAATGATATATTAAATAGACATATTTTTAAAAAAAAAAAAGAAAAGGCAACGTAATAATGGGAATAATTTAATGGTTTCTGTTGTATAATATAGAAAGGCTTGACAAATTTACAATTCCGTGAAGTTCTTTGTTTTTTCTACGGAATAAAAACGTAGAGTAACAAAAATACAGTGAAATCTCTTATAGTGTCGGTGTTGTCCGCTTATTAGGGATGTTCGTCGAACAGAGAAACCTACAAAATTTTAACACATATTTATTAATAAACGTACATGGTTTTATTACTTATAACTAAATAGTACAACCCCAAACGGATAACTAAATATTACTGAAAAAAAAAAGACATTAAAAAAAGTTTGTTAGCACATAAGAGTTTAACTTAGCATCATGTTAGCTACTATTACTTGTTTGTAAATTCTAAAATGTGCTGTTGGCATATATTTTGCATTATTTTCTTCTTAGCCGTAAAAGTTTTCTAAATTTTTGGGCTGTTGAAATGCAGTGTGGTCCTCATTTGTAGGACATTAAAGTCTCACTATAAGAAGTACTGTCGTTTCCTTTTTCAACAATGTTATGTTTATTTCTTTGGCACATCCTTCGATTTCAGATACCATAGATAAAGGAAAATAGTCTTGTCTATCCCATTGAATCATTGCTAGGTAGCATTTTTCGGAAAACCAGCTTTTCTAAAACAATTTTTGTATCGTTGCCGACAGGCGCTTTCAATGTATTAAAACATTTCTGGACTTATCGATAACATGTTGTTAAATATCATCCCGCGATCATCAGTTTTTTTTTTCTATTCAAAGTCCCTCAAAAACCTATTTTTGTTCAAAATTGTTTCTGCAGATGAATTATTTTTATTTTTTACAATTTTCGCTACTTTTCTTTCAAATTTCAAAAGATAGCAGAGACTCGATAATCCGGATCACTTAGA